TAAACTATACCTGTGCTGTCAGGGTGCTGTAGTACAGCTCTGCATTGGCGAAATACAGCGGAGATGAGGAACGGAAGATGGTGATCCCGGGAATCTCCTTTGCCTGGGAAAATAACATTCCGGATCAGTTAAGTCAGAATGGAAGAAGCACGAAAGTCAGTTTCTATTTAAAGCGTGCGCACACTGGTGGTGTTACCTCAGCATAGCAGTGGACGTCCCGGTAGCAGTCTGTCCCAGGAATCTGTCCCAGGAAGGAATAGTGGGATCTGCATGTGCAGACAAAGACAGAGAAAAAGACACAAACCTTTTCAGATCTGCTGTACACACCCGTGAAACAATTCAAACACAATGGGGATTCACAAAATACTTCACGTATAAACAGTTTACTCTACTTCTCTACTAATCTCTACTTCAATTCTGACAGTTTCGACTGCTCTCGAGCTCACGTCAGTGTGAGGAGAAACCAAGTGTGTTGTTTGGAAAATCATTCATTCACGCTGATCAGGATCTTCAGTAACTGGATAACTCAAGCTGACACAAGGTCAGCCGTACGTGTACAGCCGCTGAGAAGAGTGACCATCTGACCCATGACGTTCGTCAGTCAGGCCCGACGGCAGGACAGCTGCCTGCTTCAAGCCACATGGCTCAGCTTGCAGAAGAAGATTGCTGTGCGCTTGTGTGTTTGTGTGCTTGTGTGTTTGCACGAATAACGGAACAGACAGATGCAGAGACAGGGGAGCGCGACTGACCGCTGTGTCCTGAAGATGACGGTCAGCAGGGCGAAGGCGATGGAGGCGGCCAGTCCCAGGTCCAGGTTCAGCAGCAGCGTGCAGATCAGGGTCACGACCCACACCAGCTGCGGGGGCAGAGGGGAAAGGTCAGGGGTCAGGGGTCAGGGGCCAGGGCAAGCTTTGGGGGTTGTCCAGTGAAGGTGACACTTACTAGGTCCATGCGGTCAGTCTTCCAGAGGGAGACCAGGTCACTGACCTGTCTGAACATCCCCCACAAGTTGACCACGATCACAGAGGCCAGCACTGCCTGCAACACAGGCCCACGCTGTCAGACATCCCACACAGCTCCTGTGACTCTTGGAAGATACGGCACTCAGACAGTCCCTGTGTCTCCAGTGGACACCGTGACCCATCATCACAAGGCAGCACGCTGGCAGCATCAAATCATTTGAGCAGGACAGCCCATTGATACTGTTCTAAGAAATGCCTATGAGAAAACTCATTTAAAACAGTTTGATAAAACCGTGAGACGGTTCCATAAGCACAGTATAGAGTAAAGCCCCGTGCTCTCAAAAGACAATGCTACAGAAGCAATCCTACCAGACGATCCCGTGAGTCAGTCCCATCAGACAGTCCTAAGGAACAGTGCTGCCAGAAAGTCTTAAGAGACTGTCCTAAGTGTCCTAAGGAAGGAGTCCCATGAGCCAATCCTGTGAGACAGTCCATACCTTGGGCAGCTGCTGGAAGAGCTCCCCCACCTTCAGCAGGATGACCAGAATGACCAGGGCTGAGACTGCACCAGCCACCTGCACAGAGAGAGAGGGGGTGAGGACAGAGGGAGGGAGGGAGAGAGAGAAGGAGATAAAGAGGGAG